AGTTTCTTTAGGGGGTGTGCGACTAGATGGGTGGGGTGGGGTGGGGTGGGGGGAGGGTAGAATGGATGATGGCGACACGTCTTGATCTCGTATGGTTCTTTGATGATTGCTTGATTTTCTTGTTTTTGTTTCCAATGATTCCGCATTGGAAGGAGGCGCGAGTGCAGTTTTTTGGCTCCTTCTTCTCACTTCGACCTCCCGTTACCTTCCACACGGGGTGGGGGCCGGTGGTTAAGGGGCGCTCTGTAGGGTCCCTTTGTGAGTTTCCATATTTGGGGGGGTGGGGGGGGGGGGGGCGCAGTTAACATGGCCCTATGCTTTGTGAATTCGTTGGTTTATAAATGCGCGAGTGTGTTGGATCAGTCTCATCTGAAGTTGGATTCAATGAACCGAACTGCGACTTCTCTTTTTTTCTGCCCTTTCACGTTGTTGGAAAATAGGAGGGACGCGGAGTCTCTTCCGACAGGGCAAGCTCCAGCAGAAAAGTCCAAAGATGCGAGAAATTCAAGTTTATTTTGTTTTCTTCTTTTGATTTTTTGTCTTTATTGCGGATTCTTCACAAGCCTGCTTCTGGTCTAATGAATTTTGCCTCCGTCGTGTGCGCTTTTTTGTGGTTTGGTGGTACAACAGAGAAACGATGTATGCGTGCACCTGGAAGGGATGCTCTCTTTGCACTTGTTTTTTCCACAACTTGTATGCTCATTTTTCCGGCGTGTTTTTTTTTTGCTTTTGTTTTTAGCTTTTATTGCGAGAAAGTGAGGGCGCTGGGAAGGGGGGGAGGGGGGAGGGGGCAAAGAACAGGGGGGATAGGGGCGATGCGGGTGCGAACGTATCATCGACACCGCGTCAACAAGAGTAGTCCCCTTCTTGCTGCACTTGTGATCATTAATGTTGCCTATTCGTTTTTTTTTGCATTCCCTATTGTTGCTGCGTCCCTGGGAAACCGTTGGTATAGAGGAATTACTTCGAGTCAGCAGACATGGTGTGTCTTGATTGCAGTTTGTTGGTTTTTGGCGGAGCTGCCTCGTCTGTATTTCGGTCACACAAGTAACAGTCAGCAGTACGTTCCTGGTCTTATTTGTTTTTTGGGGTTGACATTGTTGCCTCAACTTCCCCTCGTGATTCTCTACAATGTCATGTGGCCGCAGCCGGACTCCCTCAATTATGCCGTCAGCATTACGATGCTCATACTACTTGTGGCGGAGTTCTTGTGCTCAGTCAAGCTTTTGGGAACATCTGTAAAAAGCAATCAGATAGATTACTTTGTCTACACTATGCATGCAGCCAGAGAGTAACGACACTTTGAGGTTTGACTCTTCCACCGCGGCTGCGTACGGTGATCTTTCACCATAGATTTTGTCTTGTGAGGGATGGGAGTAGTGTCGGGGAGGTCCTAAGTGCCCATAGTTGTTGTGGAAGGAGGGTATCCCCCATTGCAACAATGCTGCTTTTCACAAGAATACGTACATACGCATGTGCGTGTTTCACTATTTTGTTTACAAAGTGGAATGAACTTGTACTATATTGCCCAATTTATGATTTTGCGCGGATGGCTTAACAATATCTATTGCTATTATTATTTATTAGTATTGATTTTGGATTACTACCGTCATATATATATATATATATATATATATACTTATTTCACTCTTTCTCACTGCGTCTACTCTCGATTAGCTAAAGTGGGAAGGGGGTGGTGTCACAGTGGAAGCTTTGTGTGTGTGTGTGTGTGTGTGTGTGTGGAGGCGCTGATGGACCACACTGCAGCTCTGCGTGAGTTGTTTGAAAAAGGAACTCCCTACATTGAGGACTGCGATAGTTTTGTAGTATTAGATGCCCTTCGTGCTCACCCATTCTACAGCGCTTTCGTCGTTGTCGGCGCCAACGCGGAGGTTGCTGTGCGAGTGACACGCTCACGTATTAACGCGACGCTGCGTGCCATAGAGGAGTGCAACCCCGCCACGGCGGACATGGAGGGTTCCCTTCTCATGCAGGAGGCCGAGTTGCTATCGGCATCCAACACAATAAAGGACCTTTGCTCCTCCATTAAAGAGGCACAGAAGCAACTAGAGAAGAATGAAAAAGACATGTGGAACACATTGCTGTTCCCAGTTAGGGTGGAGACGAAGGAGCGGAAGGCGTCCTCTGCCTCTGCTGCAACGCCAACTCTTCAGTTTTTGCGACACCTTGATGTGGCACTTGAGGTGCTTGAAAACACTGTGGGTCGCTGGCGACTCCGCCTGGCCTTGTGTAAGGAGGAGTTGGCGTTATACAAGCGGGAGATGTTTACCTTTGGACGGGCGGGCGTGCTTTCCTGCTCCGATCCCGCGAAGGGGCGAGAAGGGGAGGATGCAAGCTCCTTCCCTAAAGGGAAAAAACATAGAGGTGATGACGATGCAAAAAGTTTCACATTTTTCCAACCACTTAAAGAGAGACCGTACTCTCCTGTTGGAGTGGTTTCTGTAGTGGATCATGTGATCAAGAAGGCGGCGCGGACGGTAACGGCAGCACCACTATCCCATGGCGAGCAGTTATGGTCATTAATGGCCGGCAAACGTGGAGAGGCGAGTTGCCGAAGGTCATTATTACCAGATGCGGCTTGTCTGCAGTTTGCTTACAGTGCGGAGGAGGAGGAGCGGCTTACCGAGGCGAATCTTGTACTCCAGGAGCACCAAAAGCTGGCTTCTGCGGAGGATGCCAAAGCAGTTGAGGCCTCCGTCCGTGAACTGTCACAGTTGACCTCGCTAATGAATGATCAGGTTATGCAACAAAACGAGCAGTTTTCTATCCTGCTTAAAAACACAGAAACGGCACATAATAATATGCATAAAGGAGTGGCAGAGGTACGGAAAACGCTCTCTGGCTTTTGGAATTCTACGCGTCAACTGATTTTGTGCCTGTGGGTTAGCATCTTCGTTTTGATTGTGGCCAACTGGATCATCCGCTAAGTGCCGTATTGCATTGGGAGATGATGCAAGACAACAACAAAAAAAAAAAGAGAGAAGTAAAGCGAAATGCGTATGCGGGGGTTAGAATGCGGGGGATCGTGGCTGACTACCCGTGGATGGCGGAGGCATTGTTGATGTTGTAAAATATGAGTGCACGTGCAGTGCTTATTTCCTTTTTTTATTTGTGCTTTATTATTTCGATGGTGATGGCTATGATGATGCCCAAAAATGTTTATACGTGGGGACGGGGATAATGTGAAGTATAACGTTTTTTTTTTTTGGTGGCACCTGAGACTGTAGTGGCGATGCTACCCCCCCCCCCCCCTAAAGGATTCTCACTGGCGAAGTCATTGGTGTAGATGGTTTGGCGGCGGTCCTTCGTGTGTCTCCGCCGCTGCCTTTCCACTTCTTCAAGCGATAGGCGATGCATGACTTTCACACATCGAAGTGGACTCGTCTTAACCCGTCCTCTCAGATTAAACGGACACGTCTCGGTCGGAGTTGTATTGATCAGCCGACGATGGACATGGTCTCAGTGAATCGGTACGGAGGGCACACGCGGCGCGAGATGCTGGCGACGACGTTTCGTGTGTATCACAGTGTGGATCAATCTGAAGCAACTCGACAGGCTGGACAAGAGGCACTGCAGTCAATTCAATTCACGGGCTTTACTATGGGTGAGGAGGAGGAGCATGAAGTAGCGGTTGACTTTGCTTGTTTGTACCTGAACGCCTGCGTTCTTTTTTGTGTCATGCCAACACATGAGATGATGTCGGAGTTGCTGAGTTGGCTCGCAACTTCGCTTTATAGCTCGTTTCACTGGGAGTGTGTGCTCTGCGCCCTCGCCGTGTACCTGCAGCCCTCGCAGAAAACGCAACAACAACGGCGACAGCTTTAGCGTTTCTTAGTATGCTTCGCGGGGCCAAGGCGGGAACGGTACCTGGGAGCCTCTCACGTGACGGGAAGATTTTTGTTGTTCCTTGTCATTGGTCGTGCGATGGATGTGTTTCTGAGTGCAAAGGAAAGAGTGGAGGAGCGCCAACAGCTTCTTGAGGTGCAGCTACAAACCATTGAAATGATGTGTTCCATCACACGGATGCCAACCGTGGTGCCCCCAATTTTCTCAAGGGAAGAACTGTTGACTCTAGTGGATGCTGTTTGTCGGCACCACGCTGCAGGTGCTTCTCCTGCCATCGCTGCGAAGGTGATCCCAAATCTGCAGGTCAAAACCCATGCGAGGCTGGAGGAGTTGTCTGTGTCGCAGTGTACCAGACTCTTCTGCGCCTTGTGTATATTGCTTACTGCCCAGCACTCTTCTGGGAACGTGTGGACGGTGAAGCGGCAGTCGCATCTTCTTGACCCGAGTGTGCAGCACCTTGACGAACGCGTCCGTGTACACTGCATAGATGACACCGTTTGCATCTTGGTGGGGATGCAGGCGAACAGCATGGCACGATTGCGGTACAAAAAAATTTCCTTCAGCGCTGCTTGATCACCTTCGAGAGCAGCAGCAGCAACAACAACAACAACAACAACAGGGGGTCTCAGCAAGGTGAAGGCGAGGGTGATGACCTTACTTGCTTGGGGTATGACGGCGGCCTACTCGCTCTCTTGCAGGTGCTGTCGCAGTTGGCAACTGGTGCTGACGATATGTTGGGCGAAGCAGCAGAGACAATGTTGATGGATTTTTTTGCATAAAACATTTGTTGTGGGTTGCACCGGAATACACACCTCTTCACGCACACTGGCAGAGAGAGGGAGAGAACGAAAGGGATGGTGCTGGAAAAGGAGACAAGCTTTCATCTCGATTCCTTTTTTTTTTGTTGTGGTCTTTAGTTTACTCTCTTATTATTATTATTATTTTGTGGCCGTTTGGAGAATTAGTTGTTTTCTATTTTTGATGTGCGTCATGTCTGTTTCTCGGATGCTTCTAGGCTTTTTGAATTTTATTGATTACTATTTCTGTTATTATTTATTTTAGCTTATTTGTGCCTTGTTGTAGCGGCTCCGTTTTTTATTTGATACTTGGCAGGTTTGTACCTCGTTCAAGGCAAATCACCGGGCCGACTTTAACCACCCACTCATTTTTATGCCACGTGGTGCAAGGCATGGCTGATCGCGGTGCTTTTTTTTTTTTGCCTGGGGTGCACTGCATATGCCACCATCCTGCGCACGCGTGGGTGCGGGGGGTCATTGGCAGCTTTGACGGCAAGCACGTCCCGGTGAGTCCACTGGCCCCTGTGAAGGGGTACGTACGACGTGTCAAAGCTTTTTCCCAAGGAAGTACTTGTGTGTGCCAAACACGCCATGGAAGAAGACCTTGACGACCCTTTGAACCTCTCTGTGCTACGTGAAAGGACGCTTCTGAACTGTCTGTACACGTGCCACTTTCCCGACGTGGTGTGCACAATTATTGGGGCTATTGATGTAGCACTCAATCAGTTTGATTTAAACATTTCCTTGGCACTTGGGCAACAAGGTGCGGGACCACCTCGCCGAGAGCGAGACGATTCAACACAATATGCCTCACTTATGGGCAGTGGCAAAGTTGGCATACTGCGAAATGCGGCGTGATGGTAGGAGTCAATTCATTTGTATCTCGGGAGAGTCGGGCGCGGGCAAGACGGATGCAGCAAAAAATGTCATGAAATATCTTTTTTGCCCTCAGCGCTATTAAGGGTTACAGAACATGGAAAAAAGGCCGGGTCATTTGTCGGGCAATAAATGATTCAGTCGAACTCATCCTTGAGGCCTTTGGACGCGTCAAGATAGTGTGTAGCGACAAAAGCTCCCGCTTTGGTAAACTCCTGCGCATCAAGCTTAACCGGAAGGGGCCCCTCACTGGGGTGGACGTGACAAAATATATTGTGGATAAAATACGCATTGTGTCTTCAGGCTCGAATGAACGGTTCCTACCACGCCTTTTACCTCTTGTTGCAAGGTCGCGATCGAGAACGAATATAAGCTTGTACGACTCTCACTGTACAGCGACGTGATGGCGGGCAAGGCGCCCGATATTAAGGGCGTTGACGACGCGGCGAACCACAATGAGGCAAACACGGTGATGGGGTATGTGTGGTACTTCTCAAGAGAAGGTGGGCTCGGTGTGGCGTTGCGTAGTGGCCGTGCTCTCGCTGCTCAGTCTTAAAGGCGCTGCTGTGAGCGACAACTCAAATACGCATTGCGAGCGCCGTAATAGCAGCGGTGGGTGTAGTCCCCACCTGTCGTACAGTACGATGGATTTTGGTTTCTGAAAGTTTTTTTTTTTTGTTTTTACTTTGTCTGCTTTTATCATTGTTTTTGTTTTGTTTTTTTCCCCCGTTTTTATTCAGGCAAAGAGTTAGAGGGAGAGTGAGTGAGAGAGGTCGAGGCGTGCCAATAAGAAAAATGTCTGCAGGGAATGGTGGGGTCGCTGTGTTGTTGGCGTTTATCGTTACATTTTTATTGAGCTTGTCTTTTCTCTTAGACATTTTTCATGCGACCTCCACCACCGGGGCATGTATTTATGGCTGCTTAGCGTTTGTGCCTTGTAAATTATTTTCAGCTCTCACTGAGCGTGTGTCTTTAGTTTCCTTTTGTATTTCTATGCGTTTCCCTCCCTTTACTTTATTCCTTGCCACACTTCATGGCCGGATGCATCCACGGTGATTGCAAAGCGAAAAATGAAAATGATCTGAAAAACTTACGGGAGTATAACGTGTAACTTATATTCGTCTTGTTGGGTTTTTCTCTGCACTTTGCTTTATTGGAGGGGGTGGGGGGTGGGGGTTACATGCCGTGCCTGTATGTCTCTTGCCCATGAGTTTACTACTGTCATCCGTCTTTTTTAAAATTTATTTCATTGTTGTTGGTATGTGTTTTATTTTATTTTTTTAAGCTTTTAGAGCAGCCGTCCTTTGGCGACACCCACCGCCCGACGCAAAGCACAACACACGCGGCCCGTCAAGGCCGAAAAAAAAACAAAAACGAAAAGGAAGAAGGAAAGGAAATAAAAAGAAGCGAAATAGGGACGTACACAAGAAATAAATGCGTCCAACACGGTGGAGTCTTCAACCACGCCTATTCGGTGTCTTTCACCCCTCTCCGCTCCTCACAATGTCAGGAATATTAACTGCAGAAAGAACAAATGCAATGACATTCGTATCGCCGTCGTGTTTAGGCCCTGTGGGACTGAGTGCGCTGCATCACAGCAAGAGGTTTTCATCTACCAAACTAGCACGTCTCTATACATTGGAACTCAATAAAGCCCGTAGTGACTACCGGCGCACGCCCACAACAATTCAGCAGAAAGAGTGCCTTCGTGTCGTCACTGATACACCACTGCACTGTGTTCAGGGACTCGATGGCAAAACAGTCGCACATTGCCTCTCTACTCTGGTTGTACTGGACGCCCCACGAGATTTGGCACTGCTGCATGACTGTGCTGTTTGGCTCTCTGTTCACCCCGATGCCTTTTCTCCGCACTCGCTTGCACAATCCTTGTATTCCTTGGTTTGTCTAGAATACCCCGACACCGCCACCGTCCTGCGGACTGTGCAAGATCGCGTCCTCGCTGCCGCCAATGACATGGCGCCAAGCAGTCTCTGTATGCTGCTTGCCTCTGTGCTGACCGCGACTACTGCTGCAGATGGTGTGACGCAGGGCCCTGTTGATTTGTCAAACCAGCTTTCAGATCGTCTGCTGCGTGCCGTGAACGAAGGTTTGGGAGTAACAGAGAAGGTGATGATCGCGGTTGCTCTTGGAAAACTGCTTGGGCAGGCGTCAACAAGTGGTGTCCTTTCCAGTCATCTCTTATCACAGCTCTCTGCTGCCGTGTGGGTAAGCATTCCAGGTGGCGAGTTGTCAGTTATCTCGCTAGCGGATCTCGTTGGGCTTTTTTCCGCTCTGCACACTGCACCTGCTTCTATTAGAGAACTCGCGGAAGCAGCACTCCTTGAAGAGCTTAAGCTTCGTATAGAAAAGGAACCGCTTGTCTCTGCGAGGAGCGCCGTTCTTATGGCACGTGCTCTTAAGCTTCTCGTGAAGAGTGGCAGTCCCGTTGGCAAAACTTTGCAAGGGGATATGCGGGCCGCTATTGAGACCTACATTTCCAGTGATGCAGTTACGCTTGATACGGCAACAAAGTTGTTGGTGGAACTTACCGATGCGAACGAAGAACCGTCGACGTTGATCTCACCATCTTTACAGCGGTATTTGGTTCAAGCTATCAACGAACGACGAGAGAAGTGGAGTACCGAGTCAGTGCATGTGGTGTTGAGGGTTTTTAACAAGATGGACGTGGTTCGCGCCGATGCACAGGCTCTTGCTACACAGTGTGTAGACATTATTCAGGCAAAATGTGCCACGGGAACCCCAGTGGATGCGAGCGAAATTGCAGCGCTACTCGTGGAGGGTATTGTGGACCCTCACGCCGAGGTTGTGGCCTCGGCTGTCGCCACTAACATTAGCCGATGGAGTGTTTCAAATGTTTTGACATTTCTGCGTGCTGCCTCCGAAGTAGACGGAAAGCGGACTAGGGCCATTATGCGAGATGTGGCATCCAAACTCGTGCCATACATTGAAAAAGCGACGGCCGCTCAGGTTGCAGCGGTAATTGCGTCCTATGGACGAGCCCGTGTACGCAACGATGCTTTTTGTGCTGCCATCACGAATAGAGCGACAATCTTGTCGGCAGAGCTCACACTGCATCAAATAGGCACCATTCTTGGAGGTCTGGCAGCGGTTGAATACCGTGACACCAAGCTGTTTGTGGATTTGGCTCCCCTTGTTGTCGCACAGGCCTCCACTGCTGACGCGGCGTTAACTGCCAATTTATTGGCTGCCTACTCAAAGATGCTCATATGGAATTTTAGGGTGATTTGGTCCCTCGCTGAGCGCGCCATGGTGATAAATGAGCAGTTTTCTATTTCGCAAATGTTGGCTGTAGTGATGTCCCTAAATCGAATGGATGTTCAGCACCAAGAGCTAATGAATGCCCTCTTGAAGAACGTCATACACTATGCATCGGACAATGCAAAACTTTCGCTTACTGACACAGTTATGATACTAAGCGCTTTCTCACGAAGTGGGGTGTGGGATGTTGGTTTTTTTGAAAATATTGGCGAACGAATTGTAAGGG